CACACACACACACACACACACACACACACACACACACACACACACACACACACACACACACACGTGCGTGTGAAACATATCCTGCACGCAACAGGGCAAATGGAAGCCATCAAGACTGCCACTGAATAACTGTCCAGAATAACGAGTACAGAGAAAAGCCCAGCAATTCAATTGCATCAGATGTGAGACAGAGCATTAAAAAGGTAAATTCTGCTCAACAGTGCCCAGAATCCCCCATAGCATCATTACTAACACAGTGACAACATCAAGCTCGGGACGGATCGTTCTTACTCGATGTACACAGCAAGGAAAGACTTGTTCCTATTGAACACAAAGTGCTGGCCAGCAGAGAACAGATAGCTTATAATACCAGCCTAGCTCAGCGGCCCGCACTTCGTGTCGAATAGGAATGATTCGTTTTCTTGCATGACAAGCAAGCACGAACCTGCTGAGCATCCAAACCACTTTCGCACTGGTCTAGCTCAATCATCGTTGTCCCCGAAACCCCACCCCTGTGAGTCTAAAGAATTTGCAAGAAGAGGAAAACAAGCATAATGTTGCACTTCACTTGATCACGCACGGCCCAGATACGCATGCACACTGCTGCGGCCAGAGAATGTCATATGACACCTCAGAGAGTTCTCTGCGAACTACACACAAACAAATTGCCAGGCTGTAGTCATTGGGAAAATGAGAGACCATGATATAAATAAATACATCATATCTCACACTCCAGTCCACCATGGCCGACACAGTCGACTCTGTTTTTTAACAGCTGATGCTACCCAAGCCACCCAGCAAAGTCCCCCTCCTCAAGTTCCCAGGTATGTGACCTTGGCAGAGCCGTACGAGCTTCTATATAACAAGGGCCAGATAGTGAAAAAAAAATCAACAACGGTAGACATTCCCCGTTAGGCCCAAGGCCGACTGTCCCGCAGCGTTCCCAACAGTGGATGCAGGTTCTCGCGGGAGCGTGATGCGAGACCCGCTATTCACTTAAATATTGTGAAAAACGGTAGACGTTCCCCGTTAGGCCCAGGGCCGACTGTCCCGCGGCGTTCCCAACAGTGGATGCGGGTTCTCGGGGGAGCGTGACGCGAGACCCGCTATTCACTTAAAGATAGTGAAAGATATGCCCCGTATCTATACGCAATTATGCACATGGCCGGCAGAGGCATTGTCAGCTAGCGAATACCACCGCAGAAGCACACGTCTAAACTTCCAACCCCTCGGACAAGAGCACTCATGTCCGATAGTGACGGACTGCTGTGACCTGGACAGATGACATCTGAGCTGAGATGGGACCATGAAATAGGTGGTCCCCCCCCCCGCTTTCTATTTGATCATCAATTGAGTTCCAGGAGCCCAGTGTACATCTGCGAAATGCATGTGCTCAGTCCCCAAACAAGAGCCGAGCTGACCAGCATCAAAAAGCAGGCGATGCGAAAAACGCATGCTGCGGTTTCCAGCAAAACTCTGCCGAGGTAGTTTGCAGACATGAGGGATAGACAAGGATGATGTACAGAGGCAGAACGTCGCTTTGGCACCCTGTCACGATTGCCTGGCTGCATAGAAGACAGCACTGAATGGCATATCGCCGAAGTGAGTGGATGGTCGAGATCGTCCGGTGGCGGTCAGATCACACCAGCGACCATCGGAGCCACCGATGCATACGATCATTTTATGACATTAACCCCTGCGACCACGGACACCAGCGAGTCCACTGATAGCATTTAAACCGCACATTGAAAACCACTGGATTGACGAGCTTACAGCAATACCGAAGTCGGTGCGACACTGTGAATTGGAACAGCCACTGAAAATACTGAAAGCTTAGTATTGCACGCAAAGCAAAGAGAACTCCTGAAACCACCCGAAACACTGCACGGAAATTGCCAGGGAAACTACTGAAATTTCAAATCTGAGTGCTGCTCACCCTGGACTCCAGGAGATTTCCACTGCAACCCTGGCAAGATGGATCTGCCAACCCAATCCCCTGGCTGCTGTTTTCAGTGGAAGTTCACCCAACCCCACGCTGCCCGGTCACGAATTTTGAATTTTCCGATTTACAAAAAAAGGGTATTTGAGTGGAAGTTTCACCCAACCAACACTGCCCGGTCATGAATGTTCCCATTTACAAAAGGGTTTTTCAAATTTATAAAATCTCAATTACAGACGGACAAACTGAAATTTTCAGATTTTTCAGGTTTTTCTGCAACAACTTTTTCAGCACCTCAACTCACTGTGCATGGTGAAAAGTGCTCCGCAAATCGAGACCCAAGTGCAAGAAGACGACGACCTTCCACCAAACCGCTCCACACTCAAAGATATGCGCAACACAGTTATGTATATATTGTCCTTCGTATCTGTTCGTGCTGGCTCTTGTTTCTCAACAAGCCATAGTCACCATGCATTTTATTTTACAGTTTTCATTTTAAGAATTTCGAACGACACAAAGGATTTGATCGATGCCCAGCATGCATCGCAATCCCCCATGTCTTGTCAGAAGCAACAACTGTTTCAGCAGATGAAGCGAGCATATATCTTCTTATCATACAAAGAACACAGTGTCCTTATCTCTCGCACCTCCCAACAAATTCTGCCCACTGCTGCCCCACTTCTGTCTGGTGAACCCCCAGCACAGCACAGCACAGCACAGCACAGCACAGCAAAGTACCCCTGGAGCCCGCACGCAGGTGGTCTCTGACTCTCCGCGACACTTGCATCGATAGATCTCTCGATGCCCAACGCACCAAACATGGCCTCAATCCAGTTAAGGTTCCCGCCCCAGGTACATAGTGAGGAATAGTAAAAAGTCGATGCCTAAAAGTACGCTGCCTCAATTGTCATCAACGGAAAATGTGAACTACCGTCTAAAAGCCACCCGCAGGCAAACGATGCACTCGAGTTCTTGAGGGAGGTCCTCTCGACGAACTCACCTTTCACCTTGCTGTATGCTTCTCCAAACAGAAATTGGTTGGGTCCCCCCGCCATCTGACGTATGTGCAGCATCACTGTCAGAGATCGCATTTCAGACCGTCTCCCTGGATGGATGCCCGATGATGCCGCGTCCCTTTCCGTGCTGTGCAAGTTCCCACCATCCAACTGAGCTGACAGACCTTATTGCGAAACTTGGTCCCGAATGAATTGTGGGTGCAATGCTGCAACCCCTTCCGATCACTGGATGTAGCATCAGACGGAGGAGGGTACCTGTTGCTCTGCTCTGCTGGATGCCGGATTGATCATGCTTTCGCGCATTTCGGTCTGAGGCCACCTTCGACCAAGACAAATGGAGAGAGCCCAGCATCCACCCTGTGTGTCCCCAACAGTATGCAACTTATGGCCAAAACCATAGAAAAAAACTTGGTCCTGAATGAATTAGGTGCAATGCTGCAACCCCTTCCGATCGCGGGATGTAGCATCAGACGGAAGAGGGTACCTGTTGCTCTGCTCCGCTGGATGCCGGATTGATCATGCTTTCGCGCATTTCGGTCTGAGGCCACCTTCGGCCAAGACAAATGGAGAGAGAGCCCAGCATCCCCACCACCCTGTGTGTCGCAACAGTATGCAACTTATGGCCAAAACCGCAGAAAGAAATCCTTGGCTCACACTGGGGCAGAGCAGCCAAAGGTGTTGCTGCTTTTGCACATTCGCAGACCCGGTACGCTCTCGGGATCACAGTCAGTCGAAAGATATATATATATACGGGCTCAGCAGACCTCCAAGGCGAAGTACAGGAAAACCCGCATTAGACACCCCCCCCCCCCCCCCCCCCCCCTCCTCTCTCCTCCTCCATTTCCTGTCCTGACATAGGGAAGCGGAGACCAAAACGTCGTTCATCCGATGCGAGAAAAGACGAACCTAGTCATGAGAGTGTCGACGCAGACACCCGCTCTGCTCCGTTGTTGTCACCCCGACACTATTTTTCTCCACTGCAAATGCCTTTGCACAATGAGTGAAGGCATTTAAGAAAATCAGTGTGGTAATGGCTACACCCACTGCTGGATTTTCAAAAAATTATTGTCGCATAGATGCATGTATACCGCAATGATGATTTCAGGAAACTCCGTTTTGAGGTCCGACAAAACTGTGTCAGCATTGCCCACAGCTCCACATCTCGTCCGCCCCCCCCCCCGGCATTTCCAGCTCACTCCGGAATCGTGTCCCAATCCCATCCCCCCTCCGCACCAGTCAATCAATCAATCTGATCACCCCATTCCCTTTCCCCGACATCTCTCGGGCCTCTCCTACGAAACTCGCATTACAACCGCCTTATCCGAAGCATCAGTATGCCCTGCTCAGTCCCACCAAGCCCACCACTACACCTCGCCTTCCGTATCGATGCAGTAGAGCACACTTTCCCTCCAAGTCCAAGCAATGGTCATTCCGTCCATCGCACCTCGTTGCAGCGTTATCATGTGGACGAGGTACACGCTTCTGGGAGAAGAGGGAAACCGTTTGTGAGCGGTGCAGGAGGCATGTAGCCAACAAATGCTCTACACTACGGACGGAATTCCATCCACAGAGTATCGATCAGCCATAAAGCATGACATCAACAATCCATCTTCCCTGGTCCATCCCAGCTTGCTTGATTGTCTGATCGTGCAATGGGTCGCAAAAAGCAGCCTGCATTCAATCTGACCGGGCGCAGAAGCAGAAGTCGGGCGAGCGTATCACTGTAAGAACAGGACAGTGATCCAAAAGACACTCCGCACGTGAGAAGTACGGGCGGGTGCACAAACAGAAAAGCTGCAAAAGGGGAGCACAGCAAGAGCAGCGCTGAGATGCAAAAAAAGACAGTCTGCACTTGAGAAGACGGAGCCGGCTGGCAGTAAACTGCGACAGACTGAAGACTGCAATGCAATGCTATGGAGAGATGCAACAAGGCGAAACAAAGAACGAAGATGAATGAAATAGAAAGAAAGGCGGGAAACGAGGAATTCACATGAAGAGTGAAGAGAGGAGGATCAGAAAGGAGGAGGAGGGATGTGCAATGAACGGGGACGAGAAACAGGGAACGAAACAGAAAAGAAAGGGTAAGGGACTCGCTTGCTGGACTGAGGTTCAGAACGAATCGGCTGAGTGGTGGCGAAGGCTTCGACAACGGCACAATTTGGCTGCAACCAGAACCTGGTTATGCTAAAGAAGAACAAACTTATTTTCATATATGCCAGGTCAGCAGCAGCAGCAGGTGCATCGACCATTACTGTATGATTGTCACGTCGACAGATATCTCTCCTCCTCTTCCGTTCTGCTTAATCGCGTTTAGCGACATATTAACATGAAGTGTCAGGGTTAAATTCTCTTTTCGCTCACCTAAATGACCACTTTGGAGGAATCCCTCTATGTTTTTTGTCCCTCTACTTTCGTCCTCTCTTCTTTTTCCAACTGTCTGCAGATTCTACCCATCATCCGTCTATAACTGTTCTATTTCTAAATTTTAATTCACAAACTTCCCACAATTCCTGGTAATATTCCTACGCCCGAGGAGCGGAAAAAAAAAAAAAAAGAAAAAAAAAAAAAAGAAAGAAAGATGGAAAAAAATAAAAAATGCGGGGATAAGAAAAATGGCTGGGACAGTCCTAATAATGCAAACACCAACAACAACGTGGGCTGAGTGCTGCTGTGGAGAAGAATGAATCTCAACATGCTCCCATCGATGTGGCACTCTGCTATCGAACAGGCTTCGCCAACAGCGGCCCACCCCTCATGCAACCTGCAGCACCCATGTGATGACCAGCTGGTCCTCCTTTCCCTTTGGCGGCAAGCGCTTTCGGAATTTCAATCGGATCCACCATCTGGATCGTACGGCTCTTTTTAGCTGCACCACATCAAGCCAGCACACATTGAAAAACATTTAATAAGCATCAACAACCCATCATCCTCTCATGGCCAAGAAAAGGATTTGGGGAAAAAGGGAAAATATCTAGGCTACTAGAACCACCTGTCCGTGCGACCTGCGCAGGGGTCCACCCAGGATTCCCCAGACAAGCAAAAGAAATCGCCTCTTTTTTCGTTCTCCATTTTCGGACAGTGTGGCACTGTTGTTCCGGCCGAGAACTGCCTGAATCCAGGCTTTTCTGCTTTCTATTTCTCATGTGAAAGGTGAGGCAGGACAAGGGAGTGAGGAGTGGGAAGAGAGGAGGCAGAATCTGGCAGATAGCACGAGAAGTAGATGCTGTGAAAAGCGGGCAGGAGGAGGGAGGGGGAAGGAGGGAGGAGGGAGGAGGGAGACTGTGCAAGAGAGGAGGGGCGCAGATGGCGGGAGGGAGGAGGGAGACAGACAAGAGAAAGGATGGTACGTAGTGGGAAGGGGGAGGGAGATCGCGCGTGAGAGGAGGGAGGTAGATGGTGGAAGAGAGGAGGGAGGTAGATGGTGGAAGAAAGGAGGGAGGTAGATGGTGGAAGAAAGGAGAAAGAAGCCATATGAGAGGAGGGAAGAAGATGGCAGCAGGCAGGCGAGAGATGGCAGGAAGGAGGGAGGAAGATAGGGAGAATGCTGATGAGATGGAGGGAGGTAGATGGTATGTCCACGCGAGAAGGCAGGTAGACTGGGGGCAGCAGGAGGCAAATGGTGGCAGGGAGGAGGAGATGAAAATAGGGAAGAGGGGGATGGCCAGAAGGAGGAGAAAGGAAGATGGTGAAAGGACGGAGATGACACGTGAGAGGAGGGAGGTAGATTGGGGGCAGGAGGAGGGAGGTAGCAAAGGAGGAGGGAGGAAGATGGCAGACGAAAGGGAGAAAGCCCATGCAAAGAGGGAAAAGGAAGTAGATGACACGTTTAGAGGAGGGAGGTAGATGGAAGGTGGGAGAGATATAAAGCGAGGACGAGGAAGATGGCGGGAAGGAGGAGTGACGAAGATGGAGAAAGGGAGGAGGGAATAGGTGCACGAGAGGGACAAATATGGTGAAAGGGAGGAGGGAAAAGGCTGTGCAATGAATATCGTTGCACGATGAGGGTGATGATGGTTGGACGGCACACACGATCAAAGTCGCTGTAGCAGTTTGGCTGGGCCATTCAAATTCCAACAGCCTAGCAAAATTGCCACAGTTACTTGTGCCTCGTGGAGAAAATCTCCACCATGATCTTGCCCCATCAAGAGGGACGCTAGCCAAATGTCAAAAGCCTGGTAGTTGCAGCAAGACCGCGAGGGCGTCAGATGCCTCGCCTTGTCCCAATACACCCCCCCCCCCCCCAAGCGTACGGTGCTCAGGTAACCCAGGGGCCTGGATGGGGGTTCCACCCAGCTGGGACACCCACCAGGCAGGTCCCCAGGGCCCAAGCGGCCAATAACCTATCCGAAAATTCAAAATTCTACAGTTCTGGAAAGAGAAAAAGAAGGGGGCAAACAAAAGCAGGTGTTGAATCTCCCCGTGCAGCCAGCACACATTTGCAACGTTCAATAAACACCGTCACCAATCCCTCTCATGGCTAGCACATGAACATGAAAAAAAACAGATACAAAAACAGGTACTGACTCCTCCCCCCCTTCCCCGCCCAACAAACACATGCGTAAGTTAGGCCTTCCTGGAAAGAGGTTCTTGCTGGGAACGCAAAGGCATATACTTGCCTTTATCTGCTTGTTGATATCTCTCCTGAAGTTTCCGCTTTGTCAAGATCATCTTCTCTTCGGGGCTCTCAGGTGCCGACACCTTCAATAAGACCACGCAAGAAACAAATCAGAGTCAAAACTAGTTTCAGGTTCCACTACAAGTCCTGGCGCCCGGTAAGATCCTCAGTACAACGCAAGGACCATACCACGCCCACTTCCAGTACCTGCTTCAATTCCATTCAGTCCCAAGGATCAGGTGCGGGCCCAGTTTTAGTTCCACGTCCATTCCCAGCTTTGGTTCCGGGTTCCCGATCCAGTTCCAATATGCATCATCCTCAGTTTCCAACTTTCCATCCACTCCGCGTATTCGTTAGTCCTTCCCAACATACAGTTAGCTCTACCAAATAAGCGAGCAGCTATGACGATCACACAAGGCTTTAAAGTTTAAAGTTTAAACCACCACCACTGTTGCTGAACCTATTCAGTTGAACCTGCCTTGATGACCCTCGCATCTCCACAGCAAGAACCCAACTTTTCATTTGGCATCAGACTTTGGTGACGTAATCCACAAAAAAATGGCCGAGATCGGAGGCTGTAATCCTCTTTTGTGGTTGCCGACGCCCTTCGACAGAATCCAGGGAGACCACCGGGGAAGGCTGTGTATTATGGCATCAAGGTCAGAGTTCAAATCCTACTGACAATCTGCTGGCAGATCGGATTAGAGGCTGTATTTCTCTTTTGCAAACACATCCAGCACTGGCACTCTGGTCTATATGTAAAAATGAGAAACAGCCAGTACCACCACGGCTCAATCGCCCAGGAAGGGCCTGGTACGGGAACCGCCCTGCCTAACCCCTGGACAGCTCCAACTACAGGCCCCCGCGCAAACCCCCCCCCCCCACCACACACACACACCACAAAGGGAGCAGTGGCTCAACCCCCAGGAAGGCCCTCCTCCTATCCCATGCTGCAAGTCCCACCTGAGGGGGAGTTATCTCAACCCCCGAGAAAGTTCGTGCTGATGGGAACCCACTACATTGTACCACCTGCGGCAGTGGCCCCCAAAGGAAAGCCCCAGAAAGTTCCTGCTGATGGGAACCCCCCCCACACACACTCCCACCTGCGCCACTGCCCCCCCAAAGGACAGCCCTAAGGTAAAAAAGTATGTGATCAATCTCTCCATTAGATCCCTGCCTGCATCCCAGCTATCTCCATCCCATATGATGTGTACAGGCCCAATCAGAATTGCACCCAGAACCTCTTCCATACAGCACCTAGCTCACACCCACTGAGCTACAGTATACATTGTACTAGGCTGGGGAACAAGTACATGGGGTGCCAACCTTGCGCAGAGGAGGTTGAGGGCCGACAGAATTGAACCCGGAACCTCCCCGTTGCAATGCCATTATAATGTTTTGATGATTGGCATATTAATTGCAATGTTTTGACGACACGGCCGTCTCGTTGTTGTATGCTGAGAGGTGCAAGGTCCACCATGAATGTGTGTTTACTGTCGAATGCATACGCACCCGTTCGCTTTTCTGCACACCAGCACCGTACATTTTGTCTTTTCTCTTATCAATGCTCATTCATACGCATTCAATAGTTCTGCATAAGAGAAGGGAAGCGGGAAGGGGAGGGGGAGCAGGAGGGGGGGGGAAGAGAGGGAGGAGAGGGAGGAGAGGGACGAGAGGGAGGAGCGGAGCAAGGGAAAGAGGAATCTCATAGATGTGTGTTTTGAATTCTCATCACAACAACCCCTATTCCACCCAGATGAGCAGATCCAAAACCAAAGCATTTTCAATCCTAATGCAGACAATGAAAGCCCTTGAGTTGAGGCAATCCAACAATGAAACAGTTTCACCTCTATAGCAAGCAACACAGAGAATAATAGAGGCATGTAGTGTGTGTGCGTGTGTGTGTCTTTGTGTGTGTGTGTGTAGATGTGTTGGTTGTAGATGGGGCTGTGTGTGCGTGTGTGTATTTGTCCAAGCACATGCAGGTAGGCGGGTGAGGGTGTGGGTGGTGTTTGGCATACATTCGGTGGGCAGATGCCTGTGTTCACACACCTTCCCAACAGACTGTGTGATGGCTCCACGATGTACATCTTTAGAGAGGCCACCACTCCTGCCTGAACCACCATTTCTGGATGACATCTCACTTGCTGTGTTTGTTTCCCTGTCAAACAGAGTTTTCCCCTTGTTTCCATCCTTAGAAGCTTCCTTCGCATCCTTTACAATCCGGGTCACTTTGTTGCTAGGACTGGGCTTTGTGCCAGCGCGGTTACACACAACAACAGCACTTCCACCAGTACTTTGCTTGCCACTGTGTTCAGAACCGCTGCCACCTGAATTGCGATCCTCTTTAACTCTTTCATCCCTATTTCTTTCCTCCTTGCTTCTTTCCTCTTTGCTTCTGTCCTCTTTACTTCTCTCCCCCTTGGCAGATTTCTCTCCATGTGAAGCTCTTTCCCCTGGCCTCGGAGGCAACCGCCGAGCAGTTCCAGTTGATCCTTTCCCTCCCTCGTAATCGGCCACTCCATGCCCTGAATCCCTCCCTCTGTCATCCTTCCCTCTGTCATCCTTCCCTCTGTCATCCTTCCCTCTGTCGTCCCTCCCTCTGTCGTCCCTCCCTCTGTCGTCCTTCCCTCTGTCATCCGTCACTCTGTCATCCCTCTGTCTATCCGGTGCATAGTTACTCAGCTTGGCTGGAGAACCATGTGTCCCAGAACCATCCTCTCGACCATGACAGGCATGCATTGAATGCGTGTTGCTCTCTCGAACAACTAGATCTCCAGAGTCGAGCACTGAACCAAACAACCGGGCATAAAAGATTACATGACAGACTCAAATGAGAAGACTTGCGCACAAAGGATGAAGTAAACGAAAGACACTTGGTACTAACAACATCATGCACTCACACCAGGCTAACTCAGCAGACACTCAGCTCCAGGCAGTGGTGGCCAGTCATGGGAAGTCATGTCGTTGCGGCCAAACAACACTGGCTGTCAGTGCTTTGAGAGTTAAGGCTTCTGTCTTAATCAGGTTAGTAACTAGGGTTTACAGCCTGGGCTTTGGGGATTAAGCTTCCATATTAGGGTTCAGGGTTTAGGGTTTAACACTTACAATTGACGGTTTAGGGCTTCTGGCTAAGGGCTAAAGGGCATAGGCCTTCTGGCTAAGGACTAAAGGGTATAGGCCCTACAGGGCTTAGCAGTTATGGCAGAGATGCCGGAGCGTAATGGCAGAGGGTCCAGAGGTCCCGATTTTAAGGGTCAGGATTCAGGGCTCAGGGAGTTCAAGATTCAGGCTAAGCAGTCGAGGCTTAAGCGCAAGGGGTTCAGGATGAGGATTTACCATTCAGTGATTCAGATCTATAGATTAGGGTTAGAGATTAGGGTTTAATCACTTCAGTGCTTAAGATTTACGGCTTAGGGCTTAGCTGAGCTATGTGTTTGCTGTATAGAATAACAAAGAGCTGTGGCATTGGTGTAGAACTTCAGAGCTAAAAAAAATACTCAGGGATCAAGTTTAGGACTTGGGTTTATAGCTTAGGGTTCACGGCTTATGATTTAGGGTTTACAATTAGGGTTTAGGGGTTACGATTAGCTTTGAGACTTGGGGTTCAGGTTCAAGCTCACATGGCAAGCCTACCAACTGCATGCTTATTATCCCACAGGAGAACAAGGTAGACCCATGTCATCACAAACCAGTCAAGCCTACCAACTGCATGCTTATTATCCCACAGGAGAACAAGGTAGACCCATGTCATCACAAACCAGTCAGAGCGAAAGAGAGAGAACGATGAGAGAGAGAGAGAGAGATGGCGGGAATTGGGCGGGAAGGCCCAGCAGGAAGGAGGAGGACGAAAGAAGACATGTTGACAGATGCCATCGAGATTCGAAGGTGAAGGAGAAGCATTTGGTCTCGATCAAGATGGCCGAGGGAGGGAAAAATGAACAAAAAAAAAGGACGGATCACGGCACTCGGAATTTGCCACTTTCTGAAAAGAAAAAAAAGAAAAAAAAACAAGGCAAATTCATAGCAGAAACTCCATTCATGCAATTGGGGACCACATCACGGAATTTGTCATTTTTGTCGATCTTTGGAAAGCAAGAAAAGCAAATTCATTGCAGGAAATGACGATTCAGTACCGTTCTTGCAATCTGTCGATGACACGCACGAATCAAGATATGGTCCAAATTGGGAAAAGAAAACGAAAAAAAAAAAAAAAAAAAAAAACATCAGCGAGTGTTGCTGTGCGCCACGGTCCACTTGTCCTACATAAAGGGTCACAGCTCAAACACTTGATCATGTGAGCTGCAGACAGTTTAGTCCCCTCCTTTAGTGACATGGCCGATCCACCATACATAATTCCACGACATCACACACAGCGCAGCTTGAGCAACTTGCCACCGAAACTTCTTCTGCAAACTCACTGATTCGACATGCAAACAGGTAAAGGCTATAGAAGATGAATTTCTCCAACTGCACTTTCACTGGCCTCTAAATGGTGCCACAAAGTAGGAACCCTACTCCCCTCCGCTCTTCCCCCCCCCCCCCCCCTCGCCGGAAGTCCCACATAACTGTTTGAGCATGTTGTATAATTTGGCAAACACGATGTGATGCCCAACTCCCCACATCTCACGGCATGTTGCCCCTACATGAAAAGCAATTGTTAATAAGCAGCTGTCTGACATGCTCAGATGTGTAAGCCGATGCAAGAGTATGTGAGGCCTCGATCCCATGATCTGGAAGAGAGATTGGAAAAAAGAACTCGACAGTGAGTCGACACACATCCACTCAGATGGATTTGGGTGAGATTTGGGAAACAGAACTAACTGCACGAATCAAATACTCACAGGCTGTGTCATCAACAAACTCCATGAGAAGCTGCACCGCCAAGCGCAAAGGGAATCGCCATCGCAAAAGAGACACGACACGGTGTGGCACGAGATATATTAGCTTCCAAGGAGGCAGAAGCAGATGATCATTGCACAGTCACCAATCCACACCTCTCAGAAACACAAGCAGCTCGCTCAACTACAACTTCCCCAGACTCCCTGCTCATGTCTAAAGCGACAACAAGGGATTGCAGTAGACAAGGAAAGCCAGGCGCAAGTATCTTCTCCTCAGCTGAATGGCACACAGTTCTGCACACCTGTGCACATTCATCGAAGAGGAATCGACAACGTGAACCCTATGGAAACAAACATCATCATCTCAAGCTTCTCCACCTTGCCATAGAGAAGTGACTTTGAAGTTTGAAGGCCCTTACACATACTCATCCATATCCCAGATTCTACATAAGAAATGACTCCAAGCCTTCAGAAACATACGGTCCCACAAAGGTCTGGCCGCGTCACAATAAATCACATATACATGTTTTCCCACTTCCTCCAATCCTTTCGGAAATGGAAGGGGCACCAAGAGAAGATACCCTTCTCTTTAAATACACTCGCCGCTCGGGCGATGTCTCTAGCCCACTAGATTCAGCCTACGAGTAAAAGTCCCAGTTCGAGGCCGCGCCAACTTCATTTACCAGTGTATGCCAAAGGGCTTCACCCACTTATTAGATCATCGGGTCATGTCTTTTCTGTGTTTCCTCATTTGTTTTTTTGAAAGTAGGGTCGTAAAAAAGTGGGGTAGCCCCTAGCATAGTGGAATTGCACCAGGTTTATGCTCTTCGCTGGTAGATGAACAAATCAAGGCGCAATAGCGTTTGTCATCCAAGTGCAATGGAGGTTTACAATTCGAAAGTTGTGTTCGCAGAGATAAGAGAAAAAAGGAGAAAGACGCACATACCTCTTGGAAGAAAATTGTCGGCAACCATGAGAAAAACAAGAGCTCATTGGAAGGTCATTGTGGACTTCCTCAGATGCATTCATGCCCGCAAGTCTAAGATTGCTCATCGCTGGATGTCTTTGAGGTCTGCCATCACTGTGGGGCTCTTCTTTTGGGATGGCCATACCATACGAGATGCAAATCAGACGCAGACAGATAGAGGAGTAGAGATAAGAGTGATAAGCCCGCTCGTCGTAGGTTGCATTTCAAGATACACAAGGACAAGCAACGGGCGAGTGATAGTCCCTTGTGAGTTCAGCACAACTGCAGCTTCCCCGCTTGTCCATGACCTTCTTCCTCTACTCATCATGCGCATGGGCACTGTCCCATTTGCTCCAGCAATAAAGCCAGTCAGTGCCGGTCAGCCAACACCACCACACTCTCTCCATGGAATTTCCAGGCGTAAGGGTTCATGCTTTCTTGTTACACTCCAAGGGTCACACCACTCGCGTCCCTACTCTTCCTCTCCACCACCTTTAATTCACTTGATCTCGCCTTCAGAATCTTTTTATCTCTTGTACCTCACTTTTAGAATTTTTCACGGTGAGGACAGGGTACTGAGAAGGTATCACACCAGGAGGGGGGTGGACCACAAGACGATCAACTGATACTTAGCCTGACAGCTGTTTACTCTCAATAGCCCAGCCAGTTTGCTGTCTTTTCATCTGCCTGCACTGGAGTTCGAGGTCCGGTCTGTATTTCAACACTTCAGGGTTGTAGCGACTGAGCTAGGTCAGTTGGTCCAAAGCAAGTCGCTGTCTTGCTGCACAGCTACTTGTGAACACTCAAACCACAAAAGTTGGGACACGAGACAAGCTGCCCAGGCAGTCACATTTCACATTACAATTCCCCTTGGGAGTCGTCGTCTCATGTGCACTCATGTCCTCTGTGTGAATATAAAATAAAATACAACACAGTGGAGGGCTTGCATCAGCAAAAATGAGCTGCCACCGCCGTAGCTGCACTTGTTTTCCAGCCACCCCACGCAGCTCAGTCACGATAACCAGACCAGAAGAGGTTTGCATTCTTCGTGATAACATCATACACCGACACCATAATGCTGAGACGAGGAGTGAGAAAACGAGTACCACAGTTCCTCATCAGATGGACCAAACGAACAAAGGGATACATCGGCAACCAAAATGACAGGATTTGCAGAAACCCAATAGAGATAGAGAAGCCGAGGGATTCGCGTGAATGAATGAGCAGACGGACCTCTGAGACCCTAAAAGCTTCCGGGCGCACGGAGAGCAACGCCGCCTCATCCATGGGTGGGGAAGGAAGACCGTGCCCAACATCTCCAGAGTCGGAACATCCATCCTCCGAACCCTCTCTACCTGCATGCAACGCAAAACACCGAGAACCATTTCCGCGCCAACAGAACCATCAGCTTGGAGCCCTCTTGAAAAGGGAATCTCTTCACAAACAGAAGCATTCCAAACACCATTCTCTCCCTCCCAACACTAGCAATCAAACACTTCAGCATCCAAAGATATCGGGGCATGAGACATACTCCCCTGGTTGCTGCTTTTCACCCCACTTCTGCACACGAAACATATTTCAAGACCGGAATACTGGAGGCCTTCCTCCTTTACGAGATCCGGTTACTGGGAGCATGGTCAAGACTCAAAAGTAATATTCCAAATTAAAGCCACAATACAAGGTCTGCAATTTGACCCAATGGAATGGGCTTGGAGACCTCCAGCAGGAAGTAAGAACCACCAAAGCCCTAACCCAATCACCGAATACATGGTTAGGTTAGGGTACAAGACGGCATTAAAAGACAAAGACCCCATGCTGACAAATCAATAGAAGATGGACAAGACTTATATGGAATAAGGCTGACACTCAGACCACCCAAGGTCACGAAACTTCGGATTATGCAGCTTTTTCCAGTTAATCGCTGGCTTCACATTTGAAGAAGGAAGAAGGACAATAACAGTTCCGTCCTATGTTTAGTATGCCCTGATCAAGAACAGGAAGATATGATACAATGACAACAATGCCTTATAGAAAGTAAAGAAGCCACATAATAATCGACTACAGAGCATCCGACTTATGGAGTCACTTATTATCATGCCCCTTTCCAGAACACACCATCCGACTCCTTCCATAGACTAACATCCCTGATAATCTCAGTAAACCGGAATGTATCTGGCATGGCTTGCAGCAGAGGGTGACATTTATGGGCAATCCGGAAGGAGAGGTGCAGCATTACGCTGGATGATGCAAGGAACTACACAGAGAAGGTATGCACAGCAACTACGGTAGGAGTCTCATTGAGGCAGAGACCTTGTACATTTAGCTGAACAGAAGAACAACAGCTTCACTGTGCCTTTCTGTTGTTTTGCCTTCCATGCCCGAGTAGTCACATTGACGGTCCGCACCCCTGCATTGGTCGGCGGCCGTCCAGCCGACCGTTCCACCCGTCGGCACCTACCGGTCGGCGGTCTGCCGGCATCCCGCAAAAAAATCAAAACAAGACCTTTTTTTTTTTTTTTTGGGGGGGGGG